CAGATGAGAAAGGCGCCGGACATGGAGGAGCCTAGCTTCTTGTCCGTGGGCAGAATCATTTTTTCGTCTGCAAGGAGGCCAAGCAGAATACGTTGTGTTGGCGTGTTGGCAGAGAAGTGCAAGGTGTACGTTGACAAGGCTGTTTGGGCTGCCTTGTTGTCTTGTCGTCGTTGCTTAATCTCATTTTTCCTCTCTTTAACGTACGACTTCAAGACGGCTTGCAGTTTCTCCTTGACTGCCGCTCTGGTTTCTAACCCAAACTCATCCTCAGCCTCGCCGTCGCCGCCAGTCTCAAAGGCATAATCCAATTGCCGCCAGTACCACTCCCACAGCCACTCGAGTGAGTCTGCGGCAGCGCGCTTCAGCTCTGCAAGCGATGGTAAGTGCCGATGGACGATGCGGTGCCGTGTTTCCAGCAGGGAGAGGGGTAGTTGGAGCGACTTTCCAGCGGGGAACCACGAGGGGCGGTCACGCGTCAAGTCGATCTGGGTATCTGCTAGGCCGGTTACGAATCTATGCACTTGTTAGACGGAGGCCTGTCTATGTTTTGTGTTTGTCTCGATTCCCCAATGCTTGGGTCTGGGTGTGAAGCAAGACGAAGCATGTGAATGATACAGACAAGGGTATTGGTCCCAAAGCATTTTCTGTAATAGGTACCTCGATACCGGACAAGGATCAATCACATTTGGCAACATTGACCGCCGGTTGGGAAACCTACCTTGATAGTGCTGTTGCATACAGCAGCCGCAGGGCATTGTGCTGCAGGCCGCCCCTCCCATCTTGGAGGATGACATCAACAATATCTGCCGTCGACTCTAGCAGCAAAGGTAGAGCATCTGGCTTACGCAGACGCCACGCAAAAACCTAGCCGCCATCAGCTTACTGCTTCTTGCCTTGCGTCGGTCTGGAACTATGCTTCTTAGACGACCAGACCGACAAAGGTCGGCTCACCTTGTTGACAGCCTTTTCTCTTCTAAGCGTCTCAGAGCTGTAGAAGTCGTGGCGTAGCTGAAGCAATTCCTGGCCATTGCGCCACGCCGTCACAACAAAGCGAGGACTATTATTCGAGTCCATGGACACACATGCACACAAACGGAGTTATTTTGTTCTAAGACGCCCGAGCCTCAGGGCATGCAACAGAAAAGAGAGGGTTTGGGTGTCTAGGGCAGTGGGGACCCCTGCCAGTGGAGTGGCTGATTTGCGTGTCCAAGCAAGAGGGCACGTGAGAACGCGTCGGATGCGAAACGATTGGGAAATAAAAAGAAATAAAAAGAAACCGTCGTGGATTGGACTGGAGACGATTAGCGCAGGTGGAGCATCGCGCCAATGAGGTAAGAGAGTGGCGGTTAAAGCCGGGGCAAAAGGCAATCTGGCACCCCATACTCTGGAACCTTTGTTGTGTGAAAGGCTATTGGGCGCTACGTGAGTAGCGTCCGAGCGTGGTAGACATGGGCGGCGTGGTAAGAAAAGTTGGGACGAGGCAACTATGGCGGGTCTCGCCGAGGTTGGGCGATGGATGGGGGAAAGATGCAGATGGGTCCCCGTTTGGCGGCACATTGGTGGACGGGCCAAGGGGCGGCATGAGGTCGGACAAGTCAGTCAGTCAGTCAGAGGGGGGGGATAGCTGGGCCGTCGGTTAGTTGTCGGTTAGGCGTTGATTAGTGATGGCAGTTCCGTCAGTGCTTTGGCGGATGAGGCTGAGGGGACGGGATGATGATGGCAGTCATCGGGCCTTTGCCGGCCAGTGTGACACAATCGCCTTGTTGGATCAATTTGCGCAAGCCTGGCCTGGGACCTGAAGGGAAATGGGCCCGGAGGATGCGGGCCCATGTCGCCGACGCGCCATTTGCTGGGTCGCCGGGCTCGACGTGGGTTTTGGGACAGAGGGAGAGACGGCCAACCCTGGCCTCGGCGCATGCCGCAAGCTAGTCGTCCTGTTCCACCATGTAGGGTTTCCCAAGGTTTGAGCAAGCGTGGCTAGAAGCGTGGAAGAAGCTTGCGCCATGGCACGACCCAGGCCGATGCTTTGACGGGCGATGATGGATGACATGACTGAGTAATGAGCAGGGCAAGTGAGCGACATTCGATATTCAAGCACATGGTGGTTGTAGTGGTGGTGGTAGTGGTGGTGCCGGGGCATAGTGTTGAGGGCGCCTCCCCCCGTGGTTGGCTGCCTGCTGCCTGCTCCTGCTCCTGCTCCTGCCATAGTAAGTAGTCACCCTCGTCATGTCATTGGAAGATGAACCCAGTATTTGTTATGTGTCTCTCATTGTGTTTGATTGGCTGCCAGTCATGCCTTCCTTCTTCTTCTACTATACTACTGACTGCTAACTATCTACTACTACTATACATGCATTTCCTCTCCATCTGACCTCGGTGTGAGCGATGATGCAAAGACTGGCTCTCTTTGCCTGTGAAGGCTGGGGTATCTCTTTCGCTCGCTCTCGCTGCTTGTCTAATATAGTCCTCTTTTTTGGCTCCCCAACTGGGGGCCATTGCAGAAAACAAACCAAAAAACGCCGTGCTGTGCTAAAGACCAAAAAAAAGGTACAAGGCTAAAAATATACAATAATGTAAAGCTGTGACCAACCCTTACAACCACCCATATCCTAGTCCAGCGTCCCGCACTGGCATAGAGGGTTGTTTGACTTGTTGAAACCACCACTCCTTGGATACGGTCTCGTCGTCGTCGAAGAAGAAGCTCTGGCCTTCCATGCTGCTGGGTGTTTGAGACTTGACATGGACTGCCATGTTCTGTGCCTGTTCATGGACAGGGGGCAGAGGCGGCGACGGCTCCTCGACACTGCCTTCTGAGCTTGCGTCATCGTCATCATCTTGGTCATCCTCGTCTTCCTCGGGCGGTTGCCAAGTCTCCTCGAGCTTGAGGCCTTTTCCGGTACCCTCGGTGAGCGCACCCCAGCTTAGTGATGGCTCCGGGGCATCGTATAGGCCAAGGGCAACAAGCTTCTCGCCCTCGTCTTCGTCGTCGTCCATGTCCTGGTCTTGCTGCTGGGCAGAGGCAGTGTTTTGTGCTTGGTTCTTCTGTGCCCATTGCTGCAGGTACCATGGAAGAGGCTCCGAGGTAGGCGTGTTGACACACGAGTTGACGTAGCCGGGAGTGGGCTGGGGCATGCTTTGCCAACCATACTCTGATGGAGCACTAGTCCGGGGCTCGAGCATCGAGTTGCGGGCAGAGAGCGAGTAGTAGTCGGAACCATGGCACGAGTCTCGTGATGGCAAGTAGTTTTGCTGCCAGTGTTGACTTGGCATAGGGTCAAAGTAGTTTGTTTGTTGTGCAGTCTGCATCTGTGACGACGCAGGATGCCAGCTCACGGGTCGGGTTGATTGGGGACGCTCCTCCTCTTCTGGCTCTACGCCAAACATCATTCGGTAGTGGTCGTCGAGGGTAGCATATAGCTTGGTCTCGGAAGTAGTCTTGCGCCTCTCCATGGCCTTTGGGCTGCTGTGGTGGCTCTTTGTCTTTTCAATGCGTGACGAACGGCATCCTGATTGGCTGGCCGAACCACGAGAGGTGCGTCGGTGTAGTTGTGCTGGCTGCATTTGGCCGGACATGGTGTCGAGATGGTAGGATGGAAAGGAAGTCGGCATGTACGGGGGGGAGAGGGGATGGTGAGTGTCAGTGTTGATGTGTCCAGACGAGTTGTATATGTGTGTGTGAGCGCTGATGACGGTTCTTCTGGTGTGAAGCGAAGGGGGGAGGGGGACATCTGCATAGGTATATGGAGTGCCAAGAGATATAGACAGATGCGGAAGGGTGGATGGGGAAATTGGAACAGCGTGAGGTCGCGGCAAAAGTCATGGTGCAAGGAGTGCCAGGGCTAGACTAGCCAAAGTCAAGAACAAGTAATAGTGGGATAGATGCAGGCAGGGAACGGGTGTGTATTGACTATACGGAGCCACCAAGCACCAAGGGATGGCTCGGTGAGGGAGCGCTGTGACGACTAGGGCCAGTGGCACGGCTGGCACGATCACGGCAAGACATGGGTGCAGAAAGCGAAAAGGAAGGCTTGCGATGACCAAATCACAGGACAGGGAGGGTAGACGAGCACGGCGGACCATGTATCATGGCGCAGCGCGCGACGGGGCATCCGTGCAGCTAGCAGGTAGACGACGGCCGGCTTGTCGAGACAGACAGCAGGGTAAGGGAAACGACGACGCGGGCAGCCATCATGGCAGAGGGCGGTAGTGCGGTAGTGCGACTAGGCCGCAGTGGGACTCTTTGCAGTGCGACTCAGCTGGGCTCCACGGCGGGGTTCAGTGTCGTGTGTGCAGCATGCGAGGGGGGGCGTGGGTGTGGGTGTGGGTGTGGGTGGGCGCCGTGGCTCTCCAGGCGGTCTACTAGCCCTGGTCGACTTTTTTTTCAAGACGGGGACGGTGGGTGGGTGGGTGCATGGCGACGCCCTCGCTCGGCAGGCGCTGTGGTTTAGCCGCGCTGAGGGCAGGCCAGCAGCAGTCGGAGTTGGAGGCGTACAGAATAGTCAATTTACGGGGCAAAGCCCGGCGGTACTGGTGTTGTGGGAGGAGGGGTGTGTGTGTGTGAGTGCGTGGGCGTGGGCCTCCAAGCGCAGGCCGGCGGCCACGGTGAGCCTGTGTGGCGGTAGCAGGACGCAGCAGCAGGTAGCACGCCGCAGCAGCAGCAGCAGCGGTCGGGTGAGATCAGGGGATGGATGGATGGGGATGGATGGGTCGATGGGAGGATTGGGATCAGGATGGGGGATGGATGGGGGCTCAGAGTTTGGTTGGCGCAGGTGCAGAGTGCTGGGTGGGCTACGACATGTTTTCTCGGGAGCGGGCGTGCAGCCAATGGGAAGCGGGCACGGGGCCTGGAATGGCACCCAATGCCAGCCGATAGCATCGGCCTGTAAGTCGCGATGTGGCCGTGGAGGCATGGCATGGCATGTCGTCGTACTTGGTACTAGCAGCAAGTACTAAGTATGTACGTATGTACATACTGCAACATACATAGATAGCACATAGTACTAGCTATACTGTATACGCACACGCACACGCGCACCCACCACACACACCCACATGCCATTCCCCCTCGCACCCGGCAAACCACTCTGCTGGCCCTTGGGTATCCAAGCGCCATCTGGGGCGGGCGGTGTTCCGGCGACGCCATTGGCCCAGCGGCTAGCCGACCGTCTTCCAGAAATCGACATGCAGCCAGCCCGTCCCTGCAAGCGGCGCGACGTGCAACGGATGCAGCATCAGACTGTCCCTCGCCCCATGCACCCACCCATGCACCCACTGCCCGCCTGCGTCACACAGCCAACGGCCGACACGCTCGCGGAGATTGGTGCTGCCCGGGCTTAGGCACGCCGAGAGAGACAAGCAAGAGCGCGAGGGAGAAAAAAAACACTTTAACGTTTGGCCAGCGCCATGCTCCACACACGCACGCCTTGAAACCAGTGCACCCGCCGCCCTGGCCCTGTCCCGCCCGGCCTTGTGCTTGCCCATCGAAACACGGCCATGGCAATAGACTCGTCAACCACGACATGGACGCCGACGCCGACGCCGGTGCTAGCCTGCCTGCATCGCCCTCGCCGCATGGCATAACTGGCGATACGCGCGTTCGTAGTAATGTAGTCTAGAGTACTTGCTACTGTCGCAAGGCGGCCGGCTGTCATCTGGCCACACCCGATCACGACGACGAATGCTGGCTGCACCTGCTGCTCACGCCGCCTCCCCTGGCCACAACCCCACGGCCGCCACGCCCAAACCGGCATCGCCGTTCGACACGCACAAATCCCCGGAGCGGGCGCTGATGAGATGCAGCCGAAGCGCCGAGAAGGAACCCTGGTTTCGTCCCGCCTGAATGATCGGCAGCGGTCCAACGCGGGCGCACGCATGCTCGTCGTCTCGTCCAAACCATCAGGATCCGGTCAGGGGGCCTGCATCTGCTCGCCAAAACAATACTCCATCTATGTATACGACTAACTGACTGACGGATTGACTGACTGACGGACTCCTCCCTCATTACTTACCCCAACCACCATGCAACTCGAAAACGTGCCTTATCAACCGCCGCTTGGCTGCAGCCGCGCCCGGCTCCGCACATGATGCCTGTCTTGTTGTTGTTGTCGTCGTCGTCGTCGTCGTCGTCGTCGTCGTCGTCAACCATCCAGCCATCCATCCATCCATCCGTGTGTTGCTTTGCTTGGTTACATAGCAGACAAGTCATGATGATGGGGCCCAGGTCCCGTGACCAGCACATGCCGCTGCCGCCCCCTCCCCGTTATCCACGCCCACTGTGACTGTCGCTCTTGCCTTCTCAGCCTGCCTCGGTCATTTGGATCCTCGCTTCCACCTTGCGGCGTAGCCAACTGTACCACACTGTGCATCACAACCTGACACTGTACACGGAAAAGTAAGCACCGAGTGGTCACCGGGCTTGCAGCAAGCAAATCCCTCCATCCTTCAGTTGCTGGTGTGCTTGCTTGCTTGCTTCCTACGTGCTCTTACTACTCATACACTAGAGTCCACACATGCACACACAGATACCACATACTTACCACATGCACACAATCTGCAAAATACGGGCGTTACCCCCAAATCCCAAATGCTGACCTGCGTCGTCCCCATCGCCCCATCGCTCATCTCGTCAGCCAGCTCGCGACGCCGTGCCGTGCGTCACTCGGACACGAGATGCTTTGCAGCCATTTGCACTATTCGGACTGTCGCAGTCCGACTAGCCGGATTGTGCGCATGCTGGGCTCATCAAATCGAGATTGACCAGCCTGCCGTTTCAACAAGACCATGTCCGGCCTCGTTCGGGCGCACCGCTTGGATTGACGCGGCGCGGGTCCTGCGCCCTCATCAAAGCGCATGTATGCGTATTCAGCTGCCCATTTGTGCCACGCCCAGCCCAGTCCGGCAATCTGCAACACGGGAAAGAAACCCTTGAATGACGTACCAGGGCGCGGTCCACGAGTCGAGTGGGTCTCAAACGTGGCGTCTCATCGTCGAAGACACTAGAGTGGTAGCAAGAACAAAGATTGCAGTATAAGCGGCACCGCCTACGCTAGCCCATCACAGCCCGTGCGTCCCTCTTCCCTGTCGATAACAAAGCCCATCTCCACATTTGGTCGACACACCCACGGCCATTCCTCTCTGCCACAGCGTCTCCATGTCGCCTCCGCATCGGTCCTCCGACACAATCTATATCACACACACTCACACGTACGTACATACATACATACATACACAGACATCCAAGCGCATGTACACCGCGCCTCGCCTGCCGCCTCTCTCCCTTTGAGCCCTCGTATCGCGCCCCCCAAAATATCCTACTCCACTCCACCTTCACCACCCGGAATCCCTCCGTCTGTCGGGCTAATCAAACACGAGGGCGCGAAACCCATAGGGAGTTGCTCTAGCATCAAGTGGTCAACTCGGTAGCCGCATCGTTGCTCACCACGGCCATGTCTAGTACCATCTGTAGTCGTAGTAGTAGTGACAGACAGACCCGCCTCCTATGGGCGCTACCATGCGTGTTCTAGGCCCCCGCCCCAAGGCGACGTCAAACACCAAAGTCTTTTGCAGACGCGGCGGCGCTTTATCCTAGGGAGCGAGCATTAGCCTTGCTAGGCGGCTCGACAGCCCACTTTGTTCAACGTTGACCCAATTGGCAACCAATCGCCCTTCTCCGTAGCCTGCCCTTGGGGTGCCTTGATCAGCAGCCACACTAATCGTCGGTGAGCCTCCTTGCGCTGCGCTCGACATTTGCCGGGTCGCACTATGCTGCTCAGGCGGCACATGTTTGGTTGACAGTGGGAGCAAGGCACGGCTCATGTCCTGCCGCATCCAATGCATGCTAATCCCGTACATCATCATCACCTAAGTACGTACTTGGGTAGACAGACAGCATGGCATTCACAAGAGCCATGTGCGCTGGGTGCAAGAAGGAGAAAAAAAATAGGGAGCGGCATGCCGTTCATCACCCCTTGAACCCCCCCCTTCCCCCTCCCCCATTCGGCCGACACAACTGCAACAGGCCGTCACACTTCACACTTCGCGAGGCTTGTGCAAAAGTAATGTGAGCGCTGTACTTGGCTTCACACGACGCGTCGCAGCTCATGAAACTTGCTTGTCGGTGGCCTTTATGCTGCTCACGCAACTGCTGCCAGGTTGGGCAGTGACTCGTTTTGACGCACACTGGCTGGCGTTTGTTTTGCTTCTGCCGCTTGACGGTGACCCGGTCTCCTGCATCCCTTGCATGCAACACGTACGAGCATAGGATTACGCCATGAATCAGGGCAGCAGTAGCAGCATTAAGGCGTCTGCTGATGCAACAGGCGTCGACATGGCAGCTAATATAGAAGCAAAGTTTCTCAATCAGCACCACACATGGACGGTATCCGAGGTCGGGCCACCTCGAGCACCACGCTTACTAGCTATGGTTACACCACCGATCTGACTCTTTGTAATACTACGCACCAATCCGGCAATTCCACTCCGCTTTAATCTTCCAGCGCCCACCCCCTAGTCCGCCATCGTATACCATACATTCACCATCCGCCTGTAAGACTGCCTGCCAGTCATGCATCCCACCGTCGTCACAAATCAGCCCATGTGTCAAAAGGCGACGCCAGCCTCGGTGTTACTACCGCCAATTCCCTCCGGCAAGGGGTCCTCGACATTTTACCCTTCCTCGCTACCAACAAAGCCTGGCCCCAATAATCCTTTGCGTACATACCTTGTCAGCTGCAATGACGGTGCCAGACAGGGCCCGCGGGTGCGACTATGAATCTATGCATGCATCGTCCGCTTTTTTTTCTTTCACCTCACCAGATCGACAAACTGCCTGGTCTTGGTCCTCTAGATCGCCTCTAGGCTAAACCATGCGCTTACGTGGTCTTGTCATGGCCCCGCTACAACCATTCAGCGCCCGTCTCCTCGCCCGAAGAAACTCTCTATTTGCCTGCCAATGTGCGCAAAAGCAGTCACGCCTGCATGATCCTGATTAGCGGCGCCTTCGTATATTGAACGCCTATTTTTGGGGCCCCTACACAAAAAGTACTGATCGCTGTGTCGAGTGTACCCAAGTCGCTTATTGCACGGCTGGGCCACCTTTCCATCTGCCTTTCCTACCCGGTCTGATGACCACGGCAGCACCGGCCTCTGCCTTTGTCGACACATGCACCGATGTTTTCACGCTGCTGCGGCTAGTACGCGCTCCACCAGCGCCCGCTACACTACCCCTCCTTTGAGCTGCCTCCACAGCGATCCACGGCCTGGCACGACTTGGAACTGCCCCCCTTCCCCTCCAAACAGACCGCTCCAGCATGACCTCGACAAGGCACAACATGCGCGGCTCACCTCCGGTGTGCGTTTCATCGACCTTTGATTTCTTTGTTTCATTTTTTTCTCCTTCCGCTTTTTCCGCCGCCACTCGCTGCCCAACAATTACAACCGTCACCCCATGACATGGCTTGCGCACACTGCGTGGTACTATCCGCTATTATAGTTGCTCACCCTATATATGTACGCTCGATTTGGTGGATACATGCAAGCGCGCGCCGTCCGCAAAAAAATCGCACACTGAGATCCCGTTGTCAGATACCGGATCACCAATGGCCACCCGTTCCAGACGCTTGCTCCCCTGTGACTTCCCCATCCGTGAATATCCTTCTCGCCTAACACCCGTACTTACTTACTTGGACGCTAGGCCCTGGGTAGCTTTTGCTTTTGACCATGTCTTGGAGCCTGCCTTCAATAGAGTATGTTACCGCCTAGGATATATCATGGGCGGACCAGGGGTATGGCGTGCGTCACGTTGAGCAACCGTCCGGAACAAAAAAACGCTCCGGATCGTGGATGCGAACACACCGACAATCTTACCTCGAGACGACAACCAGTACGTACATAGTAGAAACCAAGACGTTGCGCCCACACCCATGTTGCTTCCCTTACAGCCATATTCAACCGCTGCAACGCAACGCTGGGCATATGCCGAATATTCACCGTACACGCTTATATCCAAGCATTCCGGTTGGCAGTAGTACCCACAAGCGAGATAATGAGAAAAAAAAAAGAATCATGTCAGATTGCCCATCACGCTGGGGTTGCCGACTTAATTGCTTCTTTGCCAGAGTTTCGATCGACTGATTTTCTTGCGTCGTCCTTGCCCTAACCACCAAGCAAAAATATTTTTACTGGGCGAACTATTAAAACCACCAGGCGAACCAGACCCTCTTTTTTTCTTAATCCCAACTGCCCCCCAGACCAAGTTAGTACAGGCCCATGGATCTTCCGGAACTACCTGATCACTCGCAGCCCCAGGCACATAGCGGCATACGTACATGAGAAAGGAAGGGGCGGGATGCATACATACATATATAGCGTACATATGTATGTAACATGTGTATGATACACAAACGAACTTGTTTACGGGCCGATAAGTTTTGGAGTAAGTCACATTTTTCCTGTTAGGCCACCCTCCCAGAGCCCATTTTCGGCTCCAAAAGAGGAAAAGGAAAGCGTCGGTCTGTCACACACGCATACATATATCACTGCATACACACACCCACATTTTTTTTCGAACCAGGGCCACGTTATTTTCTTTTTCAAACGGTCCGGAGACAAAAAAGCAACGGCGTATGCATGGCTCGATTCGATTTGCCCCTAGCACAATGGCCTAACGCCAAGCGTGTGTGTGTGCAACGAGGGGGGTGAGGGGGAGGGACGCTGGGTATGTGTGTGTGGGTGGGTCATTGTCATACCTTACATCCCGACCAGGGATGGAGGGGGGAGAGAGACGTTACTACTATGTGCATATGTTACATGATTGGATCTCGGTAGAGTTCCAGCCAGAGACAGACAGACAGACAGCCAGAGATAACCCAGGACTCTCTCTCTCTCTCTTTTTTTTGCCGATCATGACGAAGAGTTTCTTTCTCCCCCTCCCCGCCCCCCATCTCTACGTCACTCCTTTCTCCCCCCCAATTAAAACCCGAGTTTACGTATCAAGCCTTCCTTGCGCGTTTTTTTACACGACTACACTGTTTCCGCCTTTGTCGCATTTTACCTCAACGCGAACTCTCTCTCTCTCGCGTCCCGCATCTTCAAGGGTATTACACTGCTATTGTTAAAATCCGATATCGCAAATTACCTGTGCAAATACGACCTATGTTGCCCCCCCCCCTCCCCGCCGTAGCTTCGGAAATGGATGGGAGGGATAAGCGATTATGTGATGATGATGATGATGATGATGAGTGTGCGAGAGTGACTCTCCGTCTCTCTTTGGTTTCTTTTTCGGCAACGGGAATACGCGTGGAGATGCGTCTGCGCTACCCCGGGGCAGCGAAGCGAAGCGCTTTTGCTGCGGTTCGGTTGCGGTGCTCGCAAAAGCTCTTCTCGCATGGGGGGGAGCATATGTTGGTGTGTAAGATGGTGACGTAGTTGATGCATGTTGGCTTTTGGGCGGGGGGGGGGACGGGGCAATCCAGTAAATTGTAGCGTGGGGATATGATAAGCGGTAATTTTTATTTTTTTTAAATATCTTGTTTGCTTTCATTGGTTTTCTTTCTTTTTTTTGATCTTTTCAACATGCTGATTTTGTTTTGTTTTTTTATTTGCCGTGTCGTATATATCCTGTAGGACGATTTTTGGAGGAGAAAAAAGTAGTTGGGCTGTGATTGTTCTGATGGGCTGCGGGGAAAAGGGAGTGGCGCGATTTTGTTGGAAATGCCATGGTCTTGTTTTGATGCTGAATCGACGATGGAGGAGTGATGATCAGATGGGTAGGAGGGAAGTCAACAGACGGTGTGTGTGGTACGGCTATGCTCTTTTGCTTTGCTGCTTTTCAGCCCGTTGCTGCTCATCATCCGCAGTGCTGAATGTCGACTTCTCTCTTGACGTAATTATTTCCACGTACGTCTTGATTGGCTCTTTTCCAGGAGAGACTACAATCGTCTTGATGTCGCTTTGCTCTGTACCTTCTCCAAGGTACTGTAGCATACGTCTAATACTCAAACATCATAGCATAGCATGGCATCTTCACTGTGAACTCGCACAATACCGCTCCTCCCCCACTCTCTCCACCCATCTCATCATCCACCCCTAACTTCTCCCCTTCGGCTCCCTCATCATACAATAAAGCATCACAGCATCCTTCTCCCCCTCCCCATCCCTACACTCCATCTCCTTAACCAACCTAAACCCAAACCTCTCATAAATCGCTCCATTGGGCTCCCACCGACTGCTCTCCAGATACGCCCTTCTCCCCTCCTTATCCGCCATGTGCAACACCTCCTCCATCAGCGCCCTGCCCACCCCTTGCCCCTGACACTCCGGCAACACCGTAACAATATTACAGAAATAATACCCTTGAGGATCTGTCCACAGCTCCCTCTGCGCCTCCGCCTGCCTTGCTTTCCAAATCCAATACCGCGTCGTTGACAACCCGCCCCGCCCGTACCACGCATTCATTCGCACCTGGTTGAGCCACAGCCACCACCCGGATAGGTACTCGGCCCAGGACTCGGGCTCAGAGATTGGGTGTGGCGGGAGCCACATTGTGCAGCCGAGGATTTTGGAGGGTGAGGCCGTGTCGCGGGCGACGTAGAAGAGGCCGTGGGATATGCCCCATTTGCAGCGCAGGGTTAGGGAGACGCGGTTTCGCTCGAGGGAAATCTTGGAGCGGTCTGGGTAGATCCAGAGGTTGTAGGGGTCGTTGGCGAAGGCTTGTTGGATGGTGTCGATTGCGCCGTTGATGTCGGATTCGGTCATGCGGGAGACTTGGATGGGCATTTTGAAGTGCTCTTTTTTTCCCGTTGATTGATTGTGAGTATTTCTCTTCTTTTCTTTCTTTCAAGGGGTTCAAGTAGATTCAAAGGCAGAATTAGCGATGTGGAGGATTGCGTTTTTTAGTCGTGCCATGCTTGTGTGCACACCCTGTTTTCTTTTGCGTGATGAAGCTTGTTGAGGCCGCAGCTGTGGGATTAGGGTCACGTGGAGGTGCGGGGCTTTTCGGGATGATAACGACGATGGGCAGTCGGTTACTTTGGAAGTTTCACCCGGATAGTTTCTTGGAGGTAAGTGATGGTAGTGTCGATTTAAATTCTTCGGGTGATGCCGTGTATATTTGAGAGATTGAATTGTCGTACACTCTCTAGTTTAGGTACCAATTCGGTGTCTCAACTCTTGTCGTTTATCTCCGCAGTAGCTTCCAGATAAACGATGCGATACCCTGCGGGTTCCTGTCTGCATGTTGTGTCTCCTCTGCAACATTAAAGAGTTGTAAGTGGTACGCTAAAGTCCTTCGTTGCCTTTGCCTATTGCAAAATCGGACATATTGCTATGATTCTGAATTATCTTTGAAATATGATGGAGAACCACACTGTATAGATTATACCTTGATGCTAGTACAATCTCATTCTTCAGGCATCATCTGAAAGTATTCCGTTCTTACGGTTGGCATGGTGCATATCCCAGCAGTCTCGTTACAAGTACCTCTCGAGAATCTGAACTGATAGGTGACTGCGTTTGAAGAGCTTTGCTGTCAGTTGCTATACAACGCATAGTAGTTCTCTCGATATTTTGGTAAAGTTATTTTCTTGATAGTTGGCTTAATAGGCAAGGATATGTAACAACAAGGTTGTTCGTAGTAACGTTCGTAGTCATATTGACTTCTTTTCGCATACGAGTTGATAGTGGAGTATCATTTACATGGGCTCAATATCAATTTCACAACTTCTACCAAATATTGATGGTAATTGCCCCAATTTTCTCATCAAATAGTAGCGTGAACGCTATTGTTGGTACCTCATTACTGCTAACTGGTGCATATATTTATCCCAAGTCTCAATTCTAACAACAATCTCCGATGCTACTAATAACTCGTTTTGTTCGTCGTCCAGTAGCCCCATTCAACTCCATATTACCCAAGTAACATGGTGACACTTCTTATCTAATTGAGTACAAGAATTACTGTCGACTTCATACAGCGATCTTGATACTCAAGCGGCTCGATTGTAAAAGCTAGTGCCCCAAGAATATCCTCGAGCAGCTTTGCGCCTTTCTCTTAGCAGCAATAAACCTATGTGCATACTGACTGCAAATTGAATTCTCATGTGAATGAAGTAAAGTGACTTACAGTAAAGTCTTGGTCATAGACATCTGGGTCAGTGCCTTTTTGTGATAGCAGTCTGAGGCAGACCTGGAGTATGTGAAAGTTCTTTGGGGTTTGCAGACTGTTTCGTCTCAGCCAAGTTCGAGTATTTTGGTATGGCTTGGATTGTAGACCCAGGTTGTCTGCCAGAGTGGTTAAATATATACGCACGGGAGTCTGAGATTGCGACATACTTTTCCCTAAGGGTACTTGTTAACAAACTATATATTAGTCTTTTTTTGCTGTACATACATTTGTCGTTGTCTTGTCACAAAAGTTGGAAATAATTACAACTTGGGTAACGCAATTAGATTGACGGGCAAATACACGGGACGGGCGCGCGAGAGCGAGCGAAGCGCTAGCAATAGTGAGGAATAGTGAGAAACACGGCGATATGCATTGTGTGAGCTACGATACTTCCGAGCACTCTACAGGTTGCGAAGATGTGAGCAATTCTCGGAGAAAATGGTAGGTAAGCCTATTTATATATAAGCATGTGCACATCCATCTTGTAACCAAGTTAAGAACAGTGCCGAGGAAATAAAAAGAAGACAGCTCAATTGTTTCGATCCAGAATGAACCTAAATGACGCATATCATTTGCTCTCTCATTTTCGCAGACTTTCTCGTTGGCTGCTGACTAGTTTAAACTTTTGTCCATGAACTGAATTCACCTCTCGGCGATCAGCTGACGTGATACTTTCCAGAGCCTTCTCCAGATTTGCTCTTCTAGGATGGTGTAAAAAGAAACCCTCTCGAATCTGGTTTTGTCTACCAAATTGTAACATCTTGGTTGTCTTTGACCATGCCGTGGAACTCTCAAAGGTGTATCTCGAAGTTTGGGTGTCTCTGCTTCCACAATAACAACTTCTTCTAGCTAAGGCCTCTCGATTCGGATGGCATTAACAAATAAATCTCCTAGGTCCCATAATACGTACAGTAAGGAAGTCTTGCCAAACCCTTATCTAAGTCTTCCTGCGGCAATCTTATTCAACACGTTAGTTAGATATCATCGGCATTCGTACAGTTCCTTGCCCAATATTTACGACTTTGCAGAGTTATGTGTCCGTTCGCCTACTAGGGCTTTGTTTAGCTGTCTTGACAACCTTTGACTCTGTCTCAGTGTTGAGTGTACTAACTACTTCGTTGTAAAACAAACCCATGAGCCGCTACTAAACCAAGACGGTGTTGACTTCTCATAAACCGTTGTCGGAAGTTTTGGGCTTCTCGATCTTAGTTTTGAAACATTTGTGATTTTCTTCTTGACGGAAACGCAGTTTGTGGCACTGAGTAAAGCCAGCCTTCTCCCGGAATTGTTCTTTATGTCCAAATCAGTCACTAGGTTTACATCTCCGCAAGTCCTCCATTTCTTTCTATTATTGCTCGGTTGAGGCTCGTGGTGACGCTGTTCATCCCCAGTATCGAACTGCCTGATCTCCAGCCGCGTGACATACGAAAACCAACCATTCAATTGTCTCATTCATTCCATATTGACGTACATAAATCCGGAGTTCGGTACAGTAATAAGCGCTACCACAATACTGGAGTTGCTTGAGAAAGTTCAAGGTGCCACGCGTGGTTAAGAGACATTATTCAAGCAATGCGTGGGCAATTAAAGGGGTGACTACATGAATGCTACAATGCTGTTCACATTCTCTGAGAAGCAAACACAATCCAGGCCTCATGAGTAGGAAAGTTGATTGAAATCAAACGTTCAGCTACGGACAGAAGCAACACATGTACTATGCATAGGCCCCATAGATTCTTGGCGATGCAGCATCCATCTTCCAACCCGTGTGATCCTTGTGTAGGTTCCACATCGTCATCGCATGCCAAGGGATGCGCTACAAGGGCTAGGCCCATAGCTTGAACAGCCTTATCGACCTCCACGTCTTGGCTGTAAACGCCAACAGTCTTGGATTGAGGATCCCAATCCAAAAGTTTCGAAGTCCGGGTTCAGAAAACAGACGTACGGTTTGATCAGCCGTGCTATCTTTTTTGAAGGAAGAGCAGCATTCAAAAATGCTTTCTTGCCTTGATGACCAGTACCGATCTTGCCCTATGGCTGGTTGATGCGGACAGCAGATGTAACCGGAGAGTCGCTTGCTCCGAGAGCATCCTGCCCAGTACTTGACAGTGCATTAACGAGTACAGCACATCCATCACAACATGTGAATACTAAGAAAGCTTGACGGGTATGTGCGGGTACCTTGCGGTTGGAAAAGTGGGTTGCTGTATACACAGATCGGCAGTTCACTCTTTGCAGCTCCACCTGCTCGGCATAACATGCCACCTCGAAATAAATCTTTCGTGTCGAAGCACAATGTCTCAAAAATTATTTTTATCCAAATCATTATCATGAAAAGTTCCAAAGGCATTATTGCATTGCATAACCTGTCCTGAATGGAAATTGCGGCTAGTTCGCACTCGCTCCCCTTTCCCGTCACCCTCCCGTCTTCCGTTGTAACATGATGGCACTCCCATACTACACCCACTCCCATAGCCAATTAACATCGTACAAATGTCCCAGGAATACTCCGTGGTGACGAAGTTCCCGCTGCGCCATGCTCGCTTCACAGAAATAAGCTTCAACAAGCCCTGACGCGGACCGATTAGTTTCATCCGCAGACATGCGACGCGAAACGCCCCCTTTGAGTATCACGGTCGTCTCTAGTGATATTTGACCGCCAACTAGTGTACACCGGAGTCGACGAACCACAGCTCCACATGCTCGGGATTTGTATTAGGGCGCTATTATGGTTGGGTGGGGATTTTTGTTCTAGAGCTCGTGCACCGAAACAAGCAGTCTTCTCGCCAGTAGGAAAGTGGCGCGTCACAAGGGACAGCATGCGGGATGGTTCGGCACTGAGGTACAGACTGTGTTGGAATGCTGACATTTCCGTATTTTGCGTGGCTCTATGTACGGCGATCAAGTATGTTATTTGTTCGGTCCGAGTGATTTGGAAAAGAAGGTTTGGAGGATATTAGAGTAGGGATTTGGAAATATATAAAAGTAACTGACACCATCTACTCAACACATCTCCAGTACAACAATCAGTCTAATCTTCCCCAGTATTCTTTTCAACTTCTCGCCCGGTGTGAGCCCTTTCGCTTCCCTCCAAAAACCCCACACTCTCTTTCCCAGATCTCCCAATCTTTAATCCACCACACCAAAATGAAGGCCTTCTTCTTCCTCGCCCTCCTGGCCCCTGTCTTCGCCATGCCAGCAAACCAAGGCTGCAACGCCGGACAAGCCTCCGCAGTTACCGGCGGCGCCGCCGCCGGCAACGCCACCTGCGCAATGACAAAAGCCCATCTCGAAAAAGGCATCAAAGCCAACCTCAAAATCCAAGCCCAGGAGCTGCAAGGGTAAGTCTCCCTTCCCCCTTCACTTCCCATATATCTCTCTCTAACAAACCAAACAGCATCCAAACCCTCCAAGCCCAACTCGACACCCCCGACTTCAACGCCACTCAAACCAAAGTCCTTGACATCCAAACACGCGGCATCGAGATCCGCGCCAAGAACCAGAAACTCGCCAAGGATATCTCCAGCCCGGCGCTCGATGGCCTTAATATCGTCGAGGGCGCACAGGTTAAGGAGAAGGACCAGGTCACGGGGCTGAAGGGCCAGGCGGCGGCGGATAAGGATACGCTGGATACGCTTGTCAAGGAGGTTATGGATGGAACGGCGCAGAATAAGAAGAACCTTGATGCGGCGAAGAGTCAGAAGTGTTAGTTGGGGGTGTGATTGGGTGGGAAGAAATTGAGGAGGTGATAGGGGGGAGAGGGTTCTGTGGAATTGTTCTGGCAACACTACAGAGAGGGAGGGGTGAGAGGTTGGCCGGATATGAAGGGTTGAGGTTGGTGGTTTTGGGGCTTTATATCATGGATATTGTATTTGGATATACGATCTTTTATTCGTACTACTTTTTCTTTCTTTCTTTTGTGCTGCATGCACTGAAGCTGCTCGTGTCTACCCGGATCATGAGGTTCACAAAACATAAACTTTTATGCAAGTATCTGTGGACAAAGATTTTGGAAATCCATGGAATCTAGGCGGATGTGGTTGAGTGAGAGTCGAAGAACTCAATTTAACGTTAATTTAATGTTGGAAGCTTACAACGCCCTAGACCTTTTGACTTGAATCAGCAAGAACTTTTTGTATTATTGCATCGCACATGGCAAGCATTAGAACTACCTCTCATATGAACTCTATTGTACAGTAATCTTGGCATATCGCCGTTTTTGGAATGATCTCATGTCCATGGTATAAAGCCCACACGCTGTGCACCATCGCTATGCATATATGGTCAAATAAGAAAAGTTTCTGGAGAGAATGGAAAATTTGACAAAAGAGAAAAGTCCCTTTGGAGAGCATATGAGCTCCGTTTAGTTGAGTAACAAAGATGTTGACGTTCAACATGTGACTTCGTCAAGTTCGCCTTCGGCATCGACATCCTCCTCACCTCCTGCATCTCCGTTTGCATCTGCCATCTTGATATCATCATCCGAGTTGTTTGATGTCTCTGGCGTTTGTATAGTACTTGATCTGTGCTCTGTAGCAGAGCTCTGTCTAGTATGTTCTCCAGCGGCTGCGGGACTGCCAGCTGTTACAGAGCCGGCCTTGTCTTGGCCTTCCTGAGATGGCTGAGCATCAAGAGCTTTCTGCGTGATACGATACTGTTGCTTCGGATTGTTCAAAATCTGACGACTGATGGCCGTCCCCAATGCGTCGGCATCTGTTGTACTTGTATCGCCTTCCGCGTCTGTAGCAGGGGCCGTATCAGCATGTTGTGCATCACGGGCTTGCAATGCATAGTGTCTCATATTGTAATCCATGCGCCAACGCTGCTTCTCATGGTTCTTAGGCTTCCGCTTGACATGCTGGCCGAACCAGTCATTTTCCGTATCGTGCAACTGGTCGCCGAAAGCACCCCAGAAGCCTGGAGGGGTGGTGTAACCATCGCCGACAGTTTTCTTAACTGCGCAGACCGACTCGAGCCAGTCCAAAACAAGCTGGATTTCGAAGAGCTCAGTGGTATTTTCAGGGCAGTGAGCCTGAATATCCATTGCAGTGGCACCAGCCATGAAAACCAGCGGTTGCAATACAAGATTCAGGACGCGGTACCACCAGGCCCACGTAACATGCTGACCATCAATACTGCTCCAGATGGGAAGCAAGGCGTGGGAATCGTACTTGCCAGGAAGAGGCGGCTCAGGCAGAGGATGCCATAATGTAGCCGATCGGTCGTCCTTTCGCGATGTTGGAGAAGACAGTGTTTGCAATGGGTTACCAAACTTGTACTTTTCCGTAGGAACAACATGGATATCCCAGAAGAAGCGACTCCGATCAATTGCTCGATGATTGTAGCCACCCTCACAGAATCCCCACACCGATAGCTTGGGGAGCGGACTGTTGAGCTCGTTGTTGATGGGAGGTAGCTGAGGAACAAGCCTGACTGTTCCCTCGTTGACCATTGTCATGATGGCTGCAAACGCACTGTCCTCTTCACACCGTGAAATGTTGTACGAACACATGTCTGAATCTTCGCTTATGAAAGCAGCATCCATCTTCTTCTTGACTTGGACTGCGTTCATGAAATCATCGAGCTGAAACAATCGCGCATACTTCTTTGCCAGTGTCTGAGTGAAGTTGTAGTTACGCCCTGGTAGAAGGCGCTTGAGTTTTCGCATCCTGAGGTGCTGCTTCTCCACAAAGTTCCCAACAATCTTGACCAAAGTTGATTCGCCCAAGTCTTTGAGCTTCTCGTGTGCCAGGTTTGCGTCATAGTGAGCTTGCGGTGTCGCTGTATTTGCACGAACCCATGACCGCGCTTTGAGAAGCTTATCTTCAGGTGACCAAGCCGACTTCCGCGATCGATGAAGGGGAGCGGTAAAGGAATACTGAAGTTGGAGCATAGTCCTTGTTCGATCCGCTGTTGTGGCCTTGAACCAACTAACACGATCTAAATTTTCAAAACTCGATTCCTCAATGGCAAAATGTTGTAGTGCTTCCCTAAGAACTGGGAGAGGAATTTCGGGAAAAGCACATTTGTATGACGCCCATCGTACGAGGCCTGCCCAGTCATGTGTCTCAGGATCCTCGATGGCAGCAATTTGGCCAGACTCATAAGCTTCCAGGTACAGCGATTGAAATGATGCTGTCAAATCATTCACCTGTTTAGCCATGCGATTCTGCATCCAGGACCACAGCTTTCGAGCCGTGTTTAGATTGAAACGTTTGTCATTCGCATACACGCGCTTGAAGAGGCCCCAGTCCATTGATCCATCTTCTCCAGACAAAGAAGAGACCACCACGAATGTGCAGAAGAGCCTGTTAAACTCATCCACTTGATCAACAGCCTTGCTGTACTGTCGTTCTTTCCCGTGTTTTTCGATCTGTATCTTCTTCCTTTCACTCCATGGACGTGATACCAGATTGGACCTTGGACCACTCTGCGGCTGCTGGTATATTGGATCGTTTTGGTCACCTGTAAGGCCGGTAAGACGTTCAAGCAATGTGGGAGGAGGGCCTCGCTTGCTTCGCTGGCGACCGTGACCTGTGCCGCCACTCTGCTCCGACCCAAACCGCGCCATACCACGACTTCCTTCACGGTCATCGTCAGAGTTGGATTGTGGTGTGTGTACCCTATCCTGTGGCTCAATAGCGGCCACAGGTGTTAAGCGGGCCCTCTTCTTGGGAGATTGGTCCTGAGGGGCAACAATCCTTACACGCTTCTTGCTATTCTTGACAACGGCAGTCGGGTTAGCGGTCTCAACATCCAGCGATTCATGTGAGTCTTCCTTCTGCTCCGTTTGATGAGGCTGGGTCGTCGCAATGTCTTTCTGGAGATGGTCCTCGACGGACTCCACAACTGGCGACGGATCTTGAGCCTTAACATCATCATCCTCATGCGCTGCTCGTCCTTTCCAATCAGCTATTTCATCTTCACTTTCTTCATCCTCAGACTGCTCCTCAGTTGGTATTGCCTCACGTTCTGGTACAGGCGCGATGATAGGACGCATCCAAACTAGGGAAACTTGTTCAGGCTTATCCGCCGTGCCGACGTCAGGTCCAACAGTCTCTGCATCATCAGACTCCTCGCCGAGCATCTGCATATCTACAGGGTACAATGGAGCCCGCCGAATGCGCTTGCTTCTGTCGTTCAGACTTGCCAGTCTTGCTCGTTTCGCGCGCGGCACACCATCAGAATCATGAGGCAGCTTTGAAAGCGCCTGTTCGACCCTAGCATCTTGAACCTTGCGAGCCTTGATTTCTAGCATCCTCTGCTTCTTCAATTCGAACTGCCGGCGCTGTTTGGCGTCCTTGATTTGTTTCTCAATGTCAGGATTCGATGGGTTGAGGACGATGCTCTCGTCTTTGGGGGCGGCCTGAACGGGCTGATATGAGACAACGTCGCCAATCAGGTCACGTATTTCTTCAGGGTAGTACAAGAGAGACTTCTCCGACACACGAGTGGTGTACTCCTTTTGGTGGGAGTACTGTGCCATATTGTGCGCCAGCTTCAAGACTTCTGGGCTCCTTTCGTTCAGGTGTGCCCATGTAAACATCCTTCGGGTGGTTGTGCCGGGGGTATTCTTGTTCTGTGAGGCAAAGTTCCAGTGCTTCAATCCAAATTCTGGACGGGCAGCCATACTCCTGAGGGTTTCGCTGATAGTACTAAGGGAGGGCTCTTTGATGTTGGAGTGTCGCTCGCGCCAAAGGGTGAGAAATGGCCGCAGGATCTCACCTCCTCCGGGAAACACGCCGTTGCAGCGTTTAATGATGTCCAGGATGACCTTTTCTCTGAAACGGCGCTGACTGCCACCTTTTCCGTGCTCTTTAACCCTTGGCTTGGTGCCTGATACGGGGGGCACAGGAGCTTCCACAATAGTTGTGTACATACCATCGGGAGGCTTTTGGCCATCACTCGTCTCAGAAGTGACAAGATGTGAGCCATCAGCTATTGTGACTTGGTCACTACCACGAACAACGTCTGGAGTCTGTGACGGTGGTTGGGGTTCCAATGTTGGACTGTTGGCATAAGGGCTTTGATACGGGGAAGTACGATCGAGGCCAGGCGCGTTGATGGGTGCCCAGCCGCCTACCTTGCGTATCAATGATGGAATCGGTCGCGGTGATTGTGTTCTTGATACATCAAAGACAGCAGGTGGTTGGATTTCACCTTTGTCTGGGTCTGAGACCTCAGGCATATCGATCTCGGCCTTTTTATCAGCGCTGTTTTCGCGACTCATTGGTATTCTCTCAGGTTCCACTGAAGTGGCCTTGCCAGGTGTGGAAGGTGGCGGGGTATGATTTTGAATATCGTGCCGCGTCTCCATGTCGCTTCGCAATTGCATTTCGGCTTGTGACTGCTCCGATTGCGCAGCATATGAGGTATGTCTTGAAACATCCATGCTTTCCCCGCCGTGAGATGCGGGCTTTTGTGTGGTGTCAGGAGTATGCGTGACACGGTCATGGTTTATTAATTTTCTTTGAGCGTCTTCTGCCGTGTACCAGTCCATCTCCACTAGGCGTGGTAACTTGAATGTCGCCATGAGTGCCTTCCGTGGCCGACCTCGTGCAACCTTTTGCTTCACATAGGGATTGAGATAGAGCCCCGGTGAACATCGTCTCTCGTACTGGTCAATGGCTGCTAGAGCTTCATCGTCGAGTTTGGTGGTGTCAGGAGTCATGTAGACCTTCGTCGGAGGTCGCAAACAAGGCTCAGATTCCACACTTGGTAGAATGGGCTCATCCATTGACAGTGTCATTGGCTCAACTGGTCGACCGGCATCTTTCACGATCAACGAGTTTGTGTTGTCTACGCTTTGCTCGTCAGGGATTGCTGATGGAGCACAGCTCTCAAATCGGTCGATGATGGTTTCCGGAGATGTCGTAAATGATGGGACAGGAACCGAGGTCGATTCTTGAGGGGTAGTTGTTTCCTTGCGCCGCTTTTTCGATGACACCGGAGTGGTTACTAGGTTCTTAGCCTTCCGCTTCCCTGAGACGCTGCGAAGCGAAGAATCTTCCAGAGACTCTTGCTCTATCGAACCGGGCCTTGATACATCGTCCGTGGGTTGATCCCCCTGGCATTCGTCAAGCTCTTCTGTTGTTTCAATGGGTTTTCGAGTGGGTCCGTTGGCCTTTTTGGGTGTATTTGACGACGACGCTTTTGCCCTCATCTCATCCATATACTTGGCAATGACCTTCGAATCTTCAAGAGCAATGCCTTCCTCTCGCTCCCGACGAAGACCTTCGATAAGATCTTGTGGTAAACGACCATGGTCCTTCCAGCCTAGTGCTATTCTTTGCTGCTTGCTGAGCAGTGTGGGCTCCTTGTTCGTTTTCGTTACTCGCTTCTTCTCCTTCTTGACTAACTTGGGTAGCCCGCGCTCCTCTCGGATTTTGTTCTCTTGTTCTATACCCAAACGCCCTCTTGCAGACAAACCCGCCGCTACGCGCTCCTCCTTTGTCATGAGAGGTACACTGAGTTGGCGCTTAGCGTGGTCTTGCACAACCGCATCTGGTAGCGACGTCGGATTTCCTGTCATCTGGCGGTGTGCAAGGATCTGCCTCTGTATATTTTTGCTCAAACGAACATTAGGATCTAGGCCTAGCGACCTCATTTCTTCAGGTGTGAGTGAGAGACCCGAGGTTTTCTTGAGCGGTTTCGGGTCTTTAGCTACTTTGACAGGCTTTTCTTTGATAGCTTTTGCAACCTTTTTAGGTCGACCTAGTTTGCGCGGCGTTTTCTCTTTCGGCACAGTTTTCGAAGGCTTTTGATAGCTAATCTCTTGTCCCAACGCATTGTCCCATCTGGAGCCATATTTGCGCTGCTTTACGATGACTGCGCCAGCCTCAGACAGTGTTGCTGCACCAGATCCTCGTACCAAGTTACTTGGCTTGATAGCAGGAAAACCCCAAGCATCCAGGACTGCGCCGTTACTGGTAGGATCAAACACCTCGTCGGGCCCGAAACTGGCTACACCTTCCCAATGAGCATATTGTAGCTCTACGGCCTTTTCGAAATTGGCATATGTCCGATAGACGTAATGGAGGAATTTCTTCTCATCAGTCACGCCCTGATCTCGAATGACGGCCAGATGACGAAGATGGAGCGGCTGCGTTTTCTCCCAGTCATTTGTTATGCGGGAGAAATATGATTCCATTGGACGCCTCCAGAATGGTCCGACGATTCGGTCGCGCAAAGTCTCGGCATCCCATCCACGTGGACCACCTAATGCGACGGCATTGAAGACTGTGTTGGGGAGAAAGTGATCCGGTGTCCACTGCGGAGGTATGGTTTCAGGTTTGTCAGTAGCAGACGTGTTGTCTTGAGGATTGGTACTGGGTTCACAATCGTCCAACATATCGTCTTCAAGATCTTTCATTATGTCATCACCATCAGCGCTTTCGTCGAGCGGCTCTGCACCCGATCCATCAGCGGGATCAATCGTGCGTCGAAAACCAAGATTCTTGAGATCTTCTTCTTTTGGCGCACGTAGCACCTGGATGCAGGTGATCCAAGCATCCTCAGACTTTTGTTTACGGATCCTACGTCGCTTGATCATTCCGCTCTGATCTAATCGAATCAGGGCGCCTTGTGTAGCTCGCTTGTTCCATGCCGACATTGGTACACCCTAGGGATATTAGCAAGGCATATGCGATCTTCCGCAATATACTAACCAGCTTCTGCCTAATAGTTCGCGTGGGAACAATACCCCCTTCACCCACTTTATTGTACAGCAACTGGGCAAAGCTTCTAACCACGAATGTTCCATCATCTTGGTATACATCCTCCACAGCACTAGACTCGATGAAAGCGTTCTGAGATACGAACTTTGTATGAATGCAAAGACTGGTCCGCATCTTGTTGGACTGAACAGGATACTTTGATATGTAATTTTTACGGGCCAGCTCATCTGTTCTGTGCGGTACAGATCTCTTGTCCTGGCCGCTGATAGCAATGAGCTCCGGTTGGGTAATGCCAGCAGCACCGCGAGCAGCGATAAGTGAAAGTAGTACAAACTCCATGCTTGGGACCTTCTTCAGATCAATTCCATGGCCGGTCAATGCCTGCCAAACTCTATTCTGACTTGTGTACAGACGGGGCGCAGTCATGCTTGAGTTGGGCTCATCAAAGATTGCTGTTGTGGTTTGTGGAGCTTCTACCACACCGCGAGATGGTCGGCCAGCAGACAATGAAGCTATAGCTTGATTCGGTAGACTAGAAGGTATTCTAGGCCCGCCTTCCTCGCCATGAATTCTCTGCCGCAGGGCTTCTCCCAGCCCACTCAATGTATTTGAGGGATGCACTCTCTTAGTCGCAGAGGTGTTCAAGCCCTGGTCGGGCTCTGCGGCATGTGTGTCGCCAATAGTACCAGTCTCATGTAGTTCAGCCGCTTCGAACTCAGAGAGGGTGTAGTTCTGAACCTCTGCCTTGTAGACAATGCGAATGTCTGGATGATTAGTGAGCCATTGCCATGTGCGTTCATAGAAGTTGCGGCCAAGACTGTTTGCTGACAGAGATGCCTCAGTCTGGTCATCGAGCCTGGACGGCGCATCATCCTGACTTTGGCTGTAGAAGTTTTGAATGAAACGACGGAAGTCTGCACTGCTTGCACCTGTACAAGGATTAGCTGTTGGCGTCTAGTAAAGTCAAGTACGAGAGAAGAGTGAGGCCGCTAGAATATATGATGGAACAGTGAGTAAACAAAAAAATTCCCAGAGATGATGTTTTTCAAATACCAACAAGCAAACAAAGGGTGAAGTACTATATCAAAGTGATAGTGGTGACGCGGGCAAATGGTGGCTGATGTAATCTCAAAGCGAGAACGCGTGCAGCGAGTCATGCATACCTTGAACGCCGAGGAGAGCAATTTCTGATAGTAAAAATTCCAAAAGCTCATCCAGGCCGGTCGCCATTGTATTCTGACCGGTCTTTTCCTGCGACCGCACGTCAAGGAAAAGACGGTTGGATGCTGCTAACGCATGTCAAAAGGTGGCGGGATAGGGTTTCGAACACGCGCTGCAACAGGCTGCAAGGTTGGCTCGGGAGATGTGACTGGCTCTTGCTGGCGGCGGGGCCGCACTCTGGCGCGCAAAGGTTGGCGTTCTCGAGAAGGGAGGCAAAAAGGTACAGGTCGCCTTGGTGAATGTACAGCAGGTTGGCGTTGTCCAGAGCAAGTTTCGAACGCGCGGCGGGTTGTGGTCGAATCGGTAGATTTTCTGGCTGCGCTTTGGTGGGGTCCTGCGAGTGCAAAAAAAGAGTCCAGAGAACCGGAACTCCCCCCGCATCAGGTCTTGGCGTCATGGTCCGCGCTCACACCTGGCGACTGTGATTTCGAAAGATGCCAAGACCCTATCACGTGATTTATAAATCAGGCAAAAAGTGAAAGTTGCAAAAACAAAAACATACGGCAGCGGGGATTCGCTAGCAGTTATCTACCTAACTACTAATCTACTAGTAAACTACTGTGCCGGTATACAGGGTCGCTAGCGGCCCTGGTATACACACTACGATCTAAGGCCAGGAGTATTGTCATGGAGCGTTTTTAACCTTTACCTGCGTGAGTGCTTGAGGCGTAAAATGAGTGTATTGTTGAAGTCTGAAGGGTCTTTAGGCTTAATAGTTGTTTGTGCATCTATGTGTTTTTTTCTGTTCTCTTCTATCATATACCTTCCATTATATCCACGTCTGAATACCTTTCGGACCTTATGCTAGCATAACCCCAGGTTGCTCCACCACAGTATAAGAGGGAGATTTTTCGTATACAGTGAAAAGTATGCTATAGAAGAAGTTCTAGCATATATTGTCTCGTCGTTTAATTCCATCGTGTCTAACTACATACCCTTACTGCTGAGAAGAAGGTGAAGGCAGCTACAGTCTATCTAAGTAGAGCTAGTGGGTGCAGCACTCCCTACACCCGTTCAATGTAGTACCCAACCTAAATCTTACCTAAACTCTTAGTAACCTAACTCTAATACAACCCCCACTTATTTGCCACCGTAATTCTTATGGCATAATCTCTTCTCTAAATGGTGCTCCTACACCGCACTTACATTTAGCGCTTACATACTCTCGGCATAATCTCTTCACTATATAGTACTTAGACACCGTGCTTAAATTTAGCGCGCATATGATCTGGCTTTTTTCTCTCTCACTGATTGCTATATAGCGTGTCAGAGTTTGGGGCAAGGGTGTGGTCGAAGGAGAGCAAGAAGTGGATGGGCATGGTTCTTTGATTTTATGGTAAACCACTGGGTGTTCGATAGGATAGTGACGAGAACGGCGTCGACGCTACGTGACGGTGTCAATCGGTGGAGCTGAGGATGGGTCCTTATACCCGCTTACTGCTTCACTTACTAATTCTAATAAATTTCGGAATTCTTTTGTCACACAAACGTCGCCCCGAAGGTCGTAGTCAAATTAGCACTCACATGTTCTCGGTATAATGTCTTCTCTAAACAGTATATAAACAATCAGCTATGTTAATAAGTGGACAGCTCTTCCTTGCACATAACCTTCTGTACACCTAAGCTATTGCTCCTCAAAGCGTAGCCTTTTATAAATTCTTTTCAATCCTACATCTAACGTAAAGCACCACCGAGCCGGACACACCACCGAGCCGGACACTTTTTCTTGGCATCGCGAACTTCATATA